AGTCCTCGCTCCCCCCTGCTGCCACTCTTTGCTCAGAGAGGTGTTATCGCTGCACAGTGTGAGGGTACTCCCAAGTCATTTGTATCAGATGCTCAGGTATCGGATGCCAGCGCTGAGGCCTTGGCATCCTTGGAACTGGTACTTCTTGGGCAACGTACCTCTGGCAGAAAGTGTCTAACGTGAATATTTCAGTTTTTATTATTTCATCAACCTGAAGCCCTCATTGACAGTTAATTTCTCAAGCTAATATTCTAATATTCATTTTGTGTGGTCTATTTTAACAATAGTTCTTTGCATTTATTTACTGACTTTTCAAACAACTACTTTGCAAGACATTAACAAAGGTGAAGATGCAACTAATTCAGTTACTTAAAGGTACTCTATGTTGATGCCTTTACCTTAAGCAGTTGAACATAATCTCCTTGTATATTAAAGGAGATTTAACTGTAAGCACAGCACTCTCCAACTAAATACTTACTGAACTATTTCTCAGTGTTCAGCATTGCGCAATATACCCAGCAGTTCAGGTCATGCACTCATACTTACTGATCACAGAAGAAACGAACAACGGCTTACCTATAGTAGCACTTCCCAATTTGGACTTTCCACCACCAGTCCTTGAATTGTGCGTGCTCAGTGGCAAGGGCTGCCAAATCTAGAGCCTTCCAAAACAAACCCATCATCTTAACATTAATACCTTCAATGTTTACACAAAGAAAAAGAAAGAAGTGAACAATGTAAAGATTTTTGTACAGAGAAAATTTTGAACAGAAAGTCCTGGTAAACTTGGAAAAGTAGGTATGCTAATCAAGGTGCTATCATCAGCCACCACAAACAGAATCTAAGGCTTTTCATGTTTTATCTATAATTTCAACATTTCTGTTAAAACAAATAGATGTGTGTTCTGTACCAAAACCCACCAAAGAAGCAATTGTTAGTGTTCCTTTTTTTGAAATTCCATTTTGTCCCAGAACATATCATAGCCATGCTACGTTTGTTACTTATATTTTAGGGATATCATCAGAAATAGTCTAAAAAGCTTTAATGCAGCATTTTTATAACAAAGAACTGACCTTTTTTTTGTCTTCATAAACATTTTGCAGAGCACAGAACTCAGAAACTAGCTATCTATTAGGAACAATATGGAAAAGTTCTGTATACTGGCCACTCAGTAGCAGAGGAACCAATAATTTCCAGGAAAAAAAAAAAATCTGAATACTTGAAATACTAGAAAGAGACTAATTTAGTGACATCTACCTCTGGGTTTGATTCCTATTCTTCCTGCTAGCCAAATGAAGCTGCAAGTAATCAATGGGTGTAGATTTGACCTGGCACAGCAAAGTCAGCGAAGCTATGACAACTTAAGACAAGTTGCTCTCTTTCGGCTCTGTGAGAAAGAATAATTTATTTTCTGTAGCAGTTCAGGCTAAGGAGTTGCACTGATGCTGTCCTCAAAGAGAGACAGTTATCATTCCCTGCCTCTGTGACAGCAGAGAGAAAATTGAGGAAAGCTTACAACTCTGAAGTCACTATTTCTTCCAGTTAGGTGGAATCCTTGAAGACCTCAAATGGCAGCTCTTATCTCGGTTGCCCTTTGTTTCTTAATGGCTTTGCAAATTGCACAACAGGGCCTCTGGACCTACAGCTATAATGGGGAAGAACCTTGCTTTAAGACAGAAATTATCAGTTTCCCTTTCAGACAAATATTTTCTTTCATCTGAAGGTATATAAGCAATTTTGTACTGTACTGGGAAAATTTGGGAAAGTAGTTGATGTTAAAACATCAGTTACTTTTGTTGCGTTTACAAATATACAAGCAATGTGTGTGTCTGTCCAATACCACAGCTGCTTCTAATGCAGCATGAGCAGCCCCTTGAAATGAGTAAGGATCATACTGCAAATAACACGCTTCAAAGAGCTTTCCTTAGAGTGCTCTGATGACACGTATTCAAGAAGGACTGAATTTCAAAAAACAATCCCTTCTGTAGCTACACGTTCAGCTTTCTTTCTGGTACGCTAATTATTTCTGATAACTATTTTATGCAAGGCTAACAATTCTGGCTGCAATTGGAGAGTGGGAACTAAGACTGCTTCAGGCTTAGTAGACGCTAACATCAGCAGTTTATCTGTCCGTGCAGATCCTGAACTCTTACTGGGATCTTATTCCTAACACCAAGAAACAAAGCATGACTTCATTTTGAAGTTAGTTTCTGAAATTAAGTCCCATTTTTATACTTTCCTATGAAGGAAGTAGGCAAGGAATAGGAAAATCCTGTTTCTGATACTTTACAAGTAATCACAAAAATTTTAATCCAAAAATAGTACAAATGTTACCAACATTTCTAAGAAGTGTTTGGCTGAAAAGGCTGTGCGCATTATCAGTGTCAGCTTTCTCTGTGCTAGTAGTTAGACTTTCTGCTGGTATTACAACAAAATCTTTTAACAGTGTGGCTTTCGAAATGTTAGCAAATTGATTAAAATTTACTTTCAAAAGTCAAAGCCTTCATCTTGCCATGTCAATATCCACTGCTAGCATATTTCAATTTCAGTTTGCTGCAAACTTTCTTTTTTAATTGCACATTTTAGATACAAATCAATGTTCAATCTGCACAGCATGTTAATATAAAACCAATCTATAATAGCAGTAGGGTTATGCCTGCCCTGCACTCCTGTGCATTGCTGAATGTTGGTGCAGTCGTATTAATAACTAGAAGGGAAAAACAGCACGGATTGTGGATTGGCAGATACTGGTATGTCCTTTTAAGGATTTTTGTTTCTAACGTACATATCAGACCCCCACCCCCACCCCCGATTGTTCCAAAAGTTTTAATAAACTTTAGGATATAATTCATCATCTGGAAGTGCTGGTCAGCTGAAACTGTTAGTCCATAGACCACTTAGCATAGTTACTCAGGAGTCCATTTCAATAACAGTCTGAGCCCTGGGAAGCCTTTCAGAACAAACTTATTTTACTCTCAGTTCTTATATTTGTGCAACTAATAATAATAAAACCCCCTAATACTTAATGGGTTTTCTGTTTAAAAAAAAAAGTTTTTCTTAAAGAATGCATCAGAACTGTTTTTAAATGAAAAAGAATGTAGATTGTTTAATTGTAACTGTATTCAGCACGATTCGGAGATTCATTCTTTTACCATTACTTTCCCTAGCTAAACTGCATTATAACTAACACTTCCAAATTGTCTACCAGCTGTAACTCAGTATAAACCAGCTTGCAGCGTTGTGGTAATTTACTATTGTATTGCAAAATTAAATTGGTAAACGTACATTTGTTTGAAACTTAGTAATTTCATACATAATATTGTATGCACCAAGAAATTAGATAAATGGAAACGATAGCAAGTGTCTGCCGCTTCTTTCACGTGCTGTTGAATAGCAATAATTCTCCCAGCAACAGGTATTGACTGAAGTCTTGTTTGTACACAAATCAACACAGGATAGTCTATAAGATAGCTGAGTAAATGACATTAGCCATAGTCAATTTAACACAATTTCTTTTGGTGAATGTCTTCCAGATTTCTGTAGTTGGTAAATCTAACATAATTCCATTATAAATAGATTTCTATCAGAGAGTATAAACTTCAGAGTATTAGGAAGAACTAAGGAAATATCAGAGGTCATGACTTCTGGCCCCAAGTATATATTGTACACTCTCTGTTCTTCCTCAGGACAAAGTATCTTGGCATCATTACCCACCTGTGAATAATGGCAGAATACAATGTCACAGTCTACTGCTGAAAAAGTAGCAGCTGAACTATTTCTGGACAAGTCTTTTAAACTGCCCTGCTCTTACAGCATTTAGCGCATAAAACGGCTTTTAGAAATAGCTCAAGAGGCACAGAAAGTCAGTTATTAAGTATATGTGTTTAAAAGGAAACAAGTCAAGAACAATAATGGCTAGGGTAATAGTAATTTCTTCAGAGAACTGTTTATTTTTTTATTAAATAAGCTGAAAGACTTTTGAATACATTTTCAAGTGCTGAAAAAGCTCAGTGCTTCTCTCTTCTTCTTGCATCCCACGTTTCTGATAATTGATGGATTACAGATGTATTTACTTTTAATTTGAACCAAGTTCCTGGCATCATTTGTCCAGTTGAACACACATGGACTAATGATACTTCTCAACTGAATTGCTGAGGCTTTTTTTTTTTCTTTCTATATACTGGCTGAATACTAAACAGATGATAAATAATAAAACTGCCTTTGCTTCTTAAATAATAATGCAGTTGAGAACAGTACAGACTGTTCCAGATGAGCACAGTGACAAAGGAAGGATATTGTCACTACTACTTTTGTGTTTTATTTGCAAAACTGCAGGAACTGGTTTTCCAATTCCACCCATGCAGAAAGTCCACAAGTAGAGGCTTTTCAGTCTATATGGTCACAAACTTAAACCAATTCCCCAGGCTTCCAAGCCTTCCAAGCTCTTTCATCTCATGTCATGCAGAAAAGTGTTTTGTTTTGTTTTGTTTTGTTTTTTAAGAATGTGCAACATCACACAGTAGCAGGTAACACAAAGATGCAAGAGATGCCAGTGAATGTTCTAATGGGTGATCAAGCAAGATCCAGATCACCTTTTAAATAGTTAACATATGTGCTGGTTCTCTGCTGAATCATAAGCGACCAAATTCTTTTCAGGGAGAAGCAAGAAAATGAATTAGTGAAATGCCATTGGTAGGAGAGGTGAATAAACAGTGATGCAGCCAAGTTTAAGTAGAAGTTAAAGTATTTCTTTTTTTGTCTAAGAAAAATTAATGCACATGAGGTTGAAAAGGAAGGGAGGACAGTTTGGAGAACAGAATTATATTGAAAATGGTGCAGAAAGTGCAGAAGAAGAGAGGAATGAAAGCAAAAGACAGAAAGCAAACAACAGTATTTTTTAAAAAAAATCTCTTCAGAGATACACATTACATTATAAAGGCACCTCATACTGTGAGGTGTGACACAGTTTTTTTGATCTCCCTCTCATTACACAATAAACACTAGTGACTAAGCTGACAGTTCTTTGCTTACGGATATTTATTCAAATGGCTACAGTGCATAACAAACCATAGGCAAAACTTTTCCTGCAAGACAGAGATTTGGGATTCTGAGCAAGGATTTCAAAATACATGCAGTACAGTGTAAAAACATCTTACAATTTTTTTCTGGAGTGCTTGGAAAATTCCTTGCATTATATGAAATTATCTGTCTATCCTAGAGATCCTGCATGCCCTTAAAGCGTAGGTCACAGGCACATGTGGCGTCTTACCAAGTGACCCTTTTATTCTTAGTGAACTGAGTTCTCAGTAACCAACAACATAAATTTTAATTATTAGTGGCATAAAACCCAGGCACGTTCTTCATATTCAGTATCAGAACATGTAAATGTTAATTGTTATTTCTCTGACATTTCCGACACCTGCACTTACTGTTTCAACCATATTTTGGATTAATAGTGCACTGCACTTCAATCCTCTTAAGAGAACGCTATGCAATAAATTGACAGTGTACAACTATAATCATTTGATAGTAGATTAAAAAGCTTCACATAGCAGTACATTTGGAAATGGTTCTGATCTATGTCAACGACAACAAAATATTTTTTATGTGTTATTGATTAACTGGAGAGTTTAACTTCAGATCTAATCACACACCAGTTAGTAGTATTGCAGAAAATTCAATAACTGTCTAGTCAGCTATGCATTACTGACACAAACAGTTCTTTCAAACAAACTTTGAGCAGAAATTTTGATTCCATTTCAACTGGGTGCATATATCTAACATAATAATGAAATATTTTGACACATTATTCATTGCATAAATTAATTATTTCCCTGGGTGAACTGCCAAAAAAGTTCTGCAACCTTTATCTATTTCTGAAAGTTTAAACAATGTGTACCCAAACTTGATCTTACCCATTCAGTGCAGTAACATATGAAGAACCACAGAATAAAAATTTCAGATAGGGTAAGAGGGAAACTGTATAATTCTGAAAACTTTTTGAGAATAAATGTTACAGACAATCATATGGGCAATATAATCTGTCTCTTGAGGCCACAAAACACCTCAGCACTATGAAATTAAATTTCTAGAAAAAGTGTCGAAAGTCCTAATGATATTTTATTTTTTCGCAGTTTCACCAAATACCTTTCCTTTCTATTCACCCAAATGCACAAACAATAGTCTCAGTAGTTTAACATGTCAAATGATGTTCAATTCAGTCACTAACTATTTTGTCAGATATTTTCACCTTCTGTTAACAGTCTTCTGTAACTTATTGCTTACTCTCAGGAACTCTGAACTTTCTAGGCAGCTCAGCTACCTGACATGTAGTTTCAGCTACTGCTCAGGCTCCAGTAAATTCTGTTAACATGAAATCATTAGATACATATAACATATCGGGTTGACAGATGAGGGACCTAGTTTTAAGTATTAGAATGTTTGGCTTCTCAAAAAAGAGAGCAATCCATATCTTGGTATTTGCAAATTATCATCCCTAATTATCACCCCTGTAAGAAAGGATTTCTCTCTCTTCAACAACTTTTAATGCTTCACTTCTGTACTCAGATGTGATGTACTATCTGGATCCTTAGTTTCGCAGAATACTGACAGAAATAACCGAATGATACTTAATAAAAACTGAAAATGGAACATATGAATTACTCACATTTTTTATGTCATTTTCATGGTGAAAAATATATTCGAACAATGCCTGTCAGAAAAATATTTAAAACATTGTCATATATGAAGATAAAAATTGGTAATATTATTTTAGAGTAATACAGAAGCTTGATTATGTTAGGCAAAAATTCTTCGCGAAAGCAATCACATTCACACATCACAATTGCTGACATTTACATTTAATTAAGACTTGAATAGACAAAAACTACAGATGTGCTACATTGTCATTATCAGGAAAGCATTTTAATTCTTAATTTGTTGCAAGAGATTAGTGGAACTGTCTTATCTTTGGTCCTTAAAGTCAGCTATAATTTGAAACTGAATATAGATTTGAAAACCTGATACCATTTTCATGACTTTTTAACTGTAAAATCAACAAGTGATCTAACAAAGACTTTTTGCAATGTATAGTTAGGTGCTTATGTAATGCAAAATCTACTTCAATTAAACAGAGGTTTGTTAAGAATGTAAGCTGAGCAAGTTTTGCCTTAGGGACAAAAAAAACTCTAAACCATACAGAATTTCGGGATCTGTAAAGGAAAAACTTCTTTTTTATTTGTAAATGATAAATGCTAACAATATTGTGCTTCTGAAACTCAAACACACCATCATAATACCAAAGCTTAAACAAGTTAGATGCATCAGCTGTGCTGTGGTAACTGCTCATAAGCCCACAACAATTGCATGGCAATATAACTGCATCTTTGTTTACTCCTGTATAAAGTTAAGCAAGTCATACTACCTTGTAGCTGTTCTGCACTAGAATATAGAAGAGTATATAACAGGTAATGGGGGTGGCTTTTTAAGTGAGTAACATGATGCTGAAAGATACTAGATAACTAAATGGAGACTGGAAGCCTCTATTTCCAGAAATGTAGTATGGGTGCTAGTAAGGTTCAACTCACTTGACCTTTTTCTGCATACAAATCCCAGGTTTTAATTGCTTCAAAAGAATAGAAGGTTTTTCTAAATTCTTACTATTCATTATAAAAAACTAAAAGAAAATATTGCCCCATGAGGAAAGAAAGAATGAACGAAACAGCAGTCTACTAAAGGCTTCCATGACTCTTCTGCCAGATTTTCCTAGACAGAATTCTTAAAAGATTTACCTTAAGGAAACTAGAGAATTACTAATGAAGTGTCATGTCTGGTGAGCAAAGTAAACCACAACCTACTTCTCTTCTACTTTTGGCCAGAAAAGACTCCAAACAGATGATTAAAAGACATTCAAGAATTATAAATAAAAACACATTTATAGGGAGATTAGAATAGGTGGATAACAAAAGAGTAGAAAATAAAGATGTAGCGGAACATCTCCTCCTCTAGTTCAATAACAGGGAAGCATTCAGCAAAAGTGAATAAATCTAAAGTGATAAAAAAATGTTTTCTTTCATGGCTGGCACGAGGAATTTACTGCTGTTATCTATAGGACCCGACCTTCAAAAGGATTTAAATGACTGAACATTCACTTGGATAAAAATATCTACAGTTATCTTAATAACTCTATTAAAAATCCACGAGCTAAAAAAGACAAAGCTCCTGTTTTATGCCATAAACCAGATGCTAACTGAATTTACCAGAGGCTCGCTCTGGCGACAGGTGATCTCTCATATGTCTACTACGGAGTTTCCTGCGCTAGTCCTTAACATGGCTGATGCTAGTCAGACAGAAGCCGCATTCCTGTATACTTCAAAACATCGGAAGACCTAGTCATGCAATAAAAAGATAGATAATCTAACCTAAAAAAAGATGCGATGAGTATACTTTGCAAACACATAAGAAAGAAGTACGTAGGGGGAGTATATACCAACACGAATGGACAGGCTAATTATGTGAATCTAATAGTTGCAAGATTTATCATCCTTTTGCACCTGGGAGAGGTGACAGCTCAAAGAGTTTTAAAACTTTAATCAATGATTCTTAACATAGTGCTGTCTACAGTCTCACCTGCTGCTTTGACTTTAGCCTTAATGCTGTCTTGTTTAAAAAAACGTTATAAAACCATGTAGCTCCAAATTTAAACTTAGATCTTACATTCTGTGTGAAATGTTAATGTCATAATGTATTAGCTTCATAATCTGACAAGTACATTTGCTGCCTATGGATGTTTCTGTGACTGTTGCTTTACATTTTTTGGCTTAAGCCTCTTTTCATACCAAACTGAAGGAAGACAGAGCTACCCCATTGTCCCACAAAATGCTAATGAAAAACAAAAATTGTTAAAATTATATATGTTTCTCATTCCTGAGAGCTGTTGATGAGAATAAGTATTTCATCTGAAAGCTAAGCTACCTACTTAAATAGTATATAGAGTTACCAAACACAATTAAAAACTAGCTATGTTCATGCAGAAGAACTAAGCCTAGTTTCTTATGGATGTGTCTTGTGTTTTTTAATTCTTCCCAGGTTTCTTACATTCTCCCTATTTTACAGACTGTGATGGATTTAGAATAATGTGTGTGCTGGCTGACTGCTGGCAAGGACATAATTGGACAAAAGGCCTGCAGTTTTTTCAGAACTGATAAAAAACTGACTTCTAACTGCCCTCAGATGATAGTCTGGAAGTCTTTCATTATCTCACCAGACTACAACTTACTATATTTGATATCTATTCTTCTACCTAGTTTGGTTAAGAGGCCAAGGGACAGAGATGTAAGGAGTGGGTGAGGAACACAGTGCAATCACACAAAATTTATTTCCTTTGAAAACCACATTGAAAAGCAATCAGTCTAATCAGTCTAGATCAGGTTTTAAAAAGCAAAGGAATTTGCTAATCATTTATGAAAAATTATTAACTAAAGTTTTGGACTGGAGGAGCTAATTTCCACCAGTAGATTATTAGGTACTGCTAGTCTTCTAACAGTGTTCACCACTACGTTTCTCAAAATAGACTGAATACATACAGGTTCTTTTAACTCTAGGTTGCTAGCCAAATACAGCCCCTGAGAGTGTGTCTGAAAGTTGTTTGATACCTTGTGCAAAACGAGTTTTTGGTCTCAATCCAACAGTTGTTTTTTGTGAACAACGTATGCACAGAAAACATTTTCATCTATACAACTAACTGGTTGTGTTGCGGAAAGATTCAACTGAAAGGCCACAAAGTGATAAATCATTACACAACTCTTAGGTCCCTTCCACTCAGAGCTGAAACCCCTAAGACAGGCAGATAACCTGGATAAACCTGTTCTATGGGCAGATAGTCTCAGTTTCAATGACTGTCAATCATAACATCTCAACTGAAAATGAGGAAGAATTCTGAACAAAAAGATGAAATCTTTTTATATAAAAAGTGCTAACTCATGCCATAAAATCAAAGAGACAAATCCAAACCACTTGAACACTTTTAGGACAGGATTGCCATCTATTTGTACACAGAACTGTATTTCCGGACCCTAAGGAGGGTTCTGCTGTGGTTTTTCCCTCTTGGCTTTTTTTTATTTAGTTGCCCTTCGTCACTCCTGTATGCACTGTTCAAGGTTATTTACCAATGGAATATTTTATTTTATACAAATGCTTTTCCTAGGTTATACTTTCAACATGACGTCTTCAGACATATTTTCAATTTCAAGTCTGGTAACTGCTGTCAAAAGATAAGTAACACACTATTTTTCTGAACTTTACATCTACAACACAGTTTGTCATTGTTTGTATCCCCAATCCCATGTACAGTTACATTAGAATGATGCCAGAAAATAAGAAAAAGATATCACAACATTAACCAAAATAGTTACATACCTTTGCCAGTTTGGGTTTTTGAGCATATTTTGCTAAATTCAGTCGAGACAGATTTATGAAAGGGCCATCTGGGTTTGTTAGCATTGAAGCCTGAAGGGGAGAAAGAAGTTTTTAAGTGGGAAGATCCCCTACACTTTTCCTGAAAGTTTTCAAAATATTAATAGTATACAAAAAAAACAAACAAAAAAACCAACCAAAAAGCCAAAAAACCCAAACAAAGCATTTGTAGGTGCACTGCTCTACTGTACAGTACAGACTCTTCTTACTGAATTTCATCTTTTCGGAAAGCCAGGACTTTGCCCTACTCCCATATAGTCCCTGAAAGAGGCTGCATGAATTACCTTTTGGAACTACCTTTTTCTTCCCTCTCTCCACTATTTCCATAATGTGCCTAAAAGCGTGTAGCTTGGACTAACTGTTAGATGGACTGAAGGTATTTGGGACACATAACAAAAAAAAATCTTCAAGAAAGATTTAGAAAGATCAGTTCATACCTGCAATAGTGAGAAGATACCACATATTGCCATTCATGTGATGTTAATCTGTATTACATATTTGTGCCAGTTGCTGTTTATTAATTTTGCCAACAGGATAAAACTAGTATAGTTTATTTTCCTTATCTTCTGAAATGACAGACATTCAGAGATTAATAATTGTTTTGTAGTAAACTGAAAAACTTGGAGAAGGTTTCAACATACTTAGGGTGAAATCATGTCATAGTCTTTTCATGGCCTTCAGTGAATAAAAATGAGTCTCACAGAACTTGTGAATTAGGAATTTATGTTAATTTTTGTGAACTTGTGAATGTATGTACTTTTTTTTTTATATAAACAGACTAGCAAACTAACAAGAAGTAACATTTTCAAACTCTACTTTGAAAACAATTTAAACAAAAATCTAAAAATGCTTACCTCCTTCAAACTTGAGTTTAGATGCAGCTTTTAAGTCAACTACAATGTCACTGTACCAGACACCACGACCAAGAAAGCCATCATTCTGAGAACAGTCGAACAACTTACCGTTCCTAGCCTGACATATCTCCCAGAAGCACTAGTAATCGGACGAGCTGTGAGAGCTGTTCGAGGTGTTTTTATAGCCTGTTCCATAGTACTTGGCCGTCCACTTTGTGTGCTGGGTCTCACAAATCCTGTAATAGGTCTTCCTGATTGAGTTACCGGCCTGAAGATGTTAAGCACATTATCCTTATGTTGATTGGTATTTATCGATAGAGAATTTAAACACTTATATCTGAAGCATTTAATTTTCAGAAGCTAAATTTAGGATTTGCTCATTTGTAACTAGTCACAGTTTTTAAAATAAACAATCACATACCTAACAGCTGGGCTGGGGCCTCCACCTTGGCTAGTTCCAGGGAGTTTCAAAGACGTTCCTGGTCCTATAAAATAAGAGCATTTCTCACTTCACATTGAGATACTACACCCTCATCCAGGGGACTTTAAAAAATTACTGTGTCTTACAATAAACTGGAAATGTCTTTGTTCAAACTGAGGGGGCATAGCACTAGACAAAGAAGACAAAAAACAAATACTGCACTGTGCTACTGATAAATTGTCAGACTATTGCAAGAAACCTGCCACAGTGAACATGGTTTTCTCACTTTTACCCTTCCCATTCTCTCCCCCACCCCACCTGAGGGAAGTGAGTGAGCAGCTGTGTGGGGCTTAGCTGCCTACCAGGGTTAACCCACAACAATTCTCAAGAACACCTTAGGAGCAACAGAAAGCATTGAAGTAAGAAAGGTTACTGGAACAATGAGATCATACTAATTTGAAATGGTATCTTTTCTATCTGGGACTAAAATAGCACCCAGACTTGAGTAACTAAACCAAAACCTTCAGCTACAGGGCAGATGGAGAATGATATCTCATGTCATTAGACCCATGTAGGAACCCCAACCACAATTTAGGGCACAGTAAAGTTCAAACTCATCCATATCCACAGGTCGTCAATGAAAATACTCAATTGGCTTGAGACCAGGTGAACAGATGAAGGGTCCCCCTTTTCACATATTTCTGTTTTGACAGTGGAATATTAAGAATAGTTTCTGCATGTAGATTTTTCATCACCTTCACTGACATTTGATTATTGTCAGTTTTTCTAACCTCCCAAGTGAATCTGTAAGAGATGTTTTTAAAAACTTGGTTAAAAGCAAGATATGACATCTATACCTTCTGGTCTGTTTACAGCTTGTTCCCATGTACAGAAAGAAAGGCGATTTAAGTTGACACAGCCAGTTCTTGACAAATCACTGCTACTCATCTAATTACTTTCTAGATACTTATGAACTGCTTTTATTCCAAATGTTTCCAAGAATTGAAGTTAAGCTGATAGGTAGATAGCTTCCGTCCTTCTTTTTTTCCCGCAAGATAAAGCCCAAGTTTGCCCTTTTTCAGAATTCTCTCTCTCCCGCCCTCAAGCTGTAATCACCTCTGAGATACTACCAGTCCATTGTTTAAGCAAGTTTAGTAGACTTGTCCAAATCAATAACTCAATCTAAATACCTTCTAGCTTTTTTAATCCATGGTGATTACCAAGCACCTCTGACTCCAATATTATAGTAGCCAGCTGGCTACAGCTGTATTTAAAGTTAAATGACACAAAAAAGGTATTAACCATGATCTCCTTAGCAAAACCAACTAAATATGTAAGTGATGTTAAAATATGGACCAAAACTCTCTCTCTTCTGGCTGGCCACACTAGGATCTCTGTTGCTTACTTGCTCTTTATAGTACTTGCTCTTTATAGTACTGTGAATCTTGAATTTTTTACTCCACAACAGAAAGGGTGGAGAGTCCACCCAGCACAGTTTCTAACATGATAACTAGGGCACTCTTCTGAGAAATGGAGAAAGTGGCTTTCAACTTTTCATGCTATCAGACATCAAACTAGTCTTCCACTTTATGAGCCTTTTTTTTTTTTAACTATCGCAATAATATAAAAAAGGTAGGCCATTAAAAACCCTTTTCCAGACATGTTTTTTAATAACCACAATTCTTTTGTCCTTTTGGTGTACTAGGAGAATGCTTACAAGATTTAGTTTCCTTGATCTCACCCCAGGCAACTCAGTCCTTACTTTGAGAATCCCAACTGAACTAGCTATAAATAGGCATCAAGAGGCCACAGCAGTGCATGCGACCACTAAGAGCGACAGAATTTAAGAGCATAATTTCAGCAGTTAGTGATGACTGCAGATGACTCCTTTAACTCCCTAGTTAATGAAATAGCTGCAATTATCCATAACACTAATTAGTATGAGTTTCTGAAAACTATGTTGTCAAGGTAACACTTTTAAACAAGACTACAACCTTAGCTGATAAAATTGATGGTGTTAAGAGTCCAAAGGTAACATACTGGGAATTTTCTGTAAAATGATGCTATAGGTCATTTTTATTATTAAACAAGACTGATGGAAAATTAACCCAGCAAAATTATAAAAATTTAAAAACTGGTGGAAGACAGATTTCCATTATACATGTGTGAAGAGGAACCACAGAAAAGTAGTTGTTTCCAGTGGACCCTGTACAATTTAGTAATTATTTAATAATGCAAGGCTGAGAGCAAAATCATTATTAAGATAGTTTAATCTGGAAACTAAGATAAGGAGAGATGCAAAACTGAAATGGACACGTAACTGATGCAAAAGGATTTGCACTGCTTAGTACGCAAAGTACAGACAATACCAGTTGCAATATGGGAGCTATGGCTACAAATTTTTAAGTTTGCAAGCTATAATTATAGTGGGGGAGGATATCCTGGAAGATTTGCCCCAGTAAAAGACCCTGAGTCAAGACCAACTATGGCTAAGACACTTTAAGAGCAAAAGAAAAAGCCCACAGTCAGCAAGCACCCATTTTTATTAAATCATGTGTAAAAGTGGAAGTGATCACAGACTCACAGAATGGTTGAGGTTGGAAGGGACCTCTAGAGGTCATCTGGTCCAACCAGGCTCAAGCAGGGCCACCTAAAGCCAGCTGCCCAGGACCCTGTCTACACGGTTTCTGAATATCTCTCAGGAGGGAGACTCCACAACCTCCCTGGGCAACCTGTGCCAATGTTCAGTCACCCTCACAGTAAAAAAAGTGTTTCCTGATGTTCAGACAGAGCCTCCTGTGTTTCAGTTTGTGCCCGCTGCCGCTGGTCCCGCCACTGGGCATCACTGCAAACACTGTCCCCATCCTCTTTGCACCCTCCCTAGTGATATCTGTGCTTACTTTTTATATAAAAGTGTAACAGAAAAACACTTCAGATGTATAAAGAAAGTAAAATCAAGCTGTAGAATAAAAATTTATTTTCTATGTGTCAGTGGACTGCTGTCTGGTTTGCTGACTACAACTGAAAAAGCACGCAGATTAATTGGAAAGGGTTAAGAAGAGAGTTTCAAGACTCAACTCAAAAATTAAAAGATATACCTCAGAATGAGAAGATTGTTTAGCTTACCAAAGAAAAGATTGCTGGATGACTTAATGACATTTTTAACTATTTACTTTGGAAACACACCTTTGAAAATAAAGACTTCATATCAGGCATAAAATGTACACAAAGAAGTAACAGCTGGAGCTATAGTTGATAATTCCAACTAAAGATATGGCATACACTGATAAAAACTAGCAAATTTAATAATTTACTAAAGACCGTAGGGGGTTCTTTCCCTCTGGAAAGTTCTTATACTTTCTGAAAAACTATATACTAGCTCAGGCACATCTAGTGGATTTGAAGCACGAATAGCAAAGTCTTATCTCAATGATTCAGGAGTGCAGGCTACACTATCATAATGATTTTCTTTGGCTTTGAAATCTGTGACACACTATCCAGAAAGTCACCTTTTTTCTGTTTAAATACAGTATGAGCATATTTTTCCAGAATGCCTTATTTCTCAATCAAATGATTTTTTCTCTACCACAGGGGACATAAAATCAAATAAAAGTCTAAATTATATTATTATGCTGTTTTAAGACTGATACATGTAATTAGATTATCATAATGTATAAACACAGTTTGAGTACTGCTTGACTGTTTAGATGTGACCAAGCATGTAATGACAAATTTTAAAAATGTAATCAGATAGATGTGCAATTGCCTACTTCTATCCAAAAGAGAAAAGCTTTTAATGTTTCAAGTATTAGTTCTGGCCTATGTCCAGTTCTTCCCTTTAATTCCTTGACATGGTAGGTAGTTAAGAGCCACATCTAATAAGATGCATAAAAATTCCCATGTGGACTGTACTAAAGAAGCAAAGAAAAATAGAAATAATGTCAAAAACTAGTGGAAGACTACTAATTACTGCCCACTTAGAAGGGAACTGACGATGCTGAAAAGAGCTGCATACAAGATACAGTGACAGGGCTTAAGAACTGCCCTGGGAAGGAAGAGAGGAAAAAGTAGAGAAAAGCAGAAGAGAAAATATCAGTTCAGAAAATGTTTGCGGGAAATGATACAAAAAGGTGATGTCAGATTTGGCCAGACTGTTGCCTACAGTACAGGCATATGGATGAGATTCACAGTACATCAAGGGCATATATTTTTCTCTAGTTTCCCCATAGTGCCTAAAGAAGCCAGAAAGGAGTAAAAGAAATCGGTGCCCTGACGGAAAAGAGCTAGTGAGTACAGAGATGTAGAGGAAAAGCTGACAAAACACTATTTGTCTCAACCCCTGTCTGACAGGCCTGAGCGCTACATCAAGATCATGTGGTGTATCTCAACATTGCCATGCAGCCATAAAACAATCTAAAACCCTTCTTTGTAGCAATAGCTAAAAGCCGTATCAGGTCACCTCAGTATGTACTATTTTATGCTAGATGACAATCCTGACCAAAAGAGCTCTTGTTGCTTCAACATATTTAAGTGAAAGTCGTTCTTACGTGCGACTTGAGCAATGGCATTTTCATCTAGCATCATCTCTGCGATTCCTTCTTGATCCATATCGATTTCATCCACGTACACCATTTCTGTCAAAGCTCGTGTTTTCAGGCTCCAGGCAGCCTGAATAAGGATAAAGTAAAAAGTAAAATATCTTCAAGACACCAAGTGAATACTCTAATCAGTAATTTTGCCATTTTTAAATTATTTTTCCCCTCACAGTTTTAATAGGCTTGAATAAGGTACTTAAACAGCTGGGTATATCCATCAGTTGCCTGATGGAAGTGGAAAGGGGACCAAGATTTTAGACAACTCTTTTGGAGTAGAACAGCTATAGTAACTGAGTTTGGAGGACAGAGTTTCATGCCTCATGAAAAGTCATGGTCACAGGCAACTCTCTGAGATCTTGTGCTTTTGAAGAAATCCCCAGCTATCAGTGCCATTCAAAACCCACTACTGACAGACACCTTATTTAAATTGGGATGGGAGAGGAAGGTAAGTAAACCACCGTAATGCAAAATAATGCCTTTCCCAGGCATCTGTAAAGAAAGACGGAAAATCTTTCAACCAGTAGTTACAGATACAGTACATTACTATCCACAAGTGACAGTCTTTAGAAAGATAATCTAAAACTCCTTTGTTCAAAGCATCAGCTGTAAAAAACGTGTAAATGTATACATTAAGCATCTCAGATTGTGAGATTATTGACGTACTTGTTAGTGAAATGAACTGACAAATTACTACATTAAATGTCTTGGAGGATTGTATGAGCAGTGTGGAAAGGCAAGCATAATTCTAGCCTATGTGACAAGCTTTGTGTAGACTGTAGAGACACCAAATCAATGGGGAAAAAAACCAGTGGCAGCCATACGGAAGTACCAACAAAGTAAGTGCAGATCTAACCACTTTGATAACTTAATATGCCTGTAATGTACTCGTAGAGCTGGCATGATAAAGGGAGCCACAAGACCAATCCCTGATCTTCCTTCAGATATTGAACAGATCATCATAAATTTTCCACAGTAAAAATCACTGCCAAAACAATTAGATTAGTTTCTTTTCTGACACAGGGTACAGCCGTCTGTGGAAAAGCAGTTTAATATTTGCTAAGAAGACATTTCAAAATAGAAACAGACTGATGCTACCTTAATAGAACTAAAGGTCGAACACATGGAAACATTTGCTCTTTAAATAAGAGATAGGAGATCTGGACCTCAGGCTTATTTAAGAATTTAAGTAATCATTTAATGGGACACTTCTCATGCATCATGTCTCAGACCACCCCTTCCCCTACACTTCCCTCATATTTCTATGCAACTTTATAACTGTCTATCAAAAAGAAAGTATATCTAAAAATGTTGAAATATTTAACTCTTCTTTTTAAAAGCACTTTCTTCCAAGCAGAAGGAGGGATTTAGCCAGTCAGTTCAACCACAATTAGAAACCTTTTTTCAAGTACGAAGAGGAAGGAACAGGGCAGGATGATTTGAATCTAGGCCAGACAGACATAATCCAGATCTGCTCTATTATCTTTTAGTTTCTTGTTATGTAGTAGGGTGACAACCTTTAATTAGCATTGAGATTTGCAGTTAGATGTTCAACACCCTTAACTGTTTTTCATTATTCTATAGAAGTATTTAGTTTGTTGAATTTTTAACACCTTGATGGTACTCTGCTTTTTTTCAAAGACATATGTCTGAAGTCAACATCACCACGTCTCATTGGGAACATGCTGAAATTAGAGCTCTCAGTTCGGCCAAACACAGGCTAATTTCCTAGTAGAGATAAGAAAAGCTGCCCATAGTAATGATCTTTTCCTGGGAACTGAAAGTAGCAACTTCTCTACGCTAATTGCTAAAACTGGGGCCAGTTTTTAACATAGACATAAGTATATCATGGTGATTTTTCCAGTAACAAACATCAGATAATGTGTTTTTAAAAGCAACATGTCTTTTTATCATTATTGGACAAATATCTGTCATAAGTAATAGATTCCTTAGGCTGCTCTTCCAGTCTTAAGCTCCTAGTCTGAGGCTGCCCAGCCAACAATAAATTCAAATATTGCATATTATTCCTTAATTAAACATCAGTCTGTAGATTAGAGTATTGCCTGCAGCAATGTTTGTTACAGGACTTCTGATCAAAACAGCAGGAGAGAGAAAAATGTCAAATTCATTACTTAAACTATAGAAAGATGACCTTTACCTTGGGAGACAAGAAGACAATTCAAAATTCCTAACTACTAGTTACAAGACCCATATGAAACAAAAGTATCATTTCTGTGCATGCACACAGTTATGCTGAATATCTGAAAAATCGAGGTGTGGGAAAAAGAATTAGAAATGTATACTGGCACACAAATACAAAGGCAGATGTAGGAAAAAGATCTTTTTTTTCTAAAGAATTAAATGACATTTCTGACACCCTTTTCATTCATAAACAATTTGCTACTTATTTGTAAAAAATCACATAGGACTTTATTAGAACTACGGCATATGGCTATTGTTCTACTTTTTAAAAGAAAACCTGAGATGTACATTTCTCTGTTAAAACAGACCCTCCCCAACAAATTTTGATCTTTTTTTTTGTTCATAAGCGTGTCTTTTATCACATGAGACCTAAAACTCATGCAAGGTTCAGAGATTTTCTTAACAGCTCAGTAATTTCAACTTCTGTTGACTATCTATAAAGAATTTACACCAGTAGTCCTGGTATTTCCTATAGCTACTTCATCCTTGTATGAGGCCTACTTTCTGCATTGCAGTTTTCAGTTATTCAGAAAAATTTTAACAATTCTGTTCATAAAAAAGTACACAATTTTAGTAATTTACTATAGTACAATGCACAGATTTTTCGCTCAGTGAAAACCTGTAAAGGTTTAATCTGAAACTAATGCAGAAGAATTTCAGCTGAAAAACTTCAATTAAAATGAATAAGAGCAGCACAAAACTGGAAGAACCACACTGCCAACAGTGAGAGGAAGGCTCACTTATAATCACAAAAAGCCATAAAAATAAATGCACACATTTCTGAGTAACCACATGACAATATTATTTACACATCGACTTAGCACAAGTTTCTCCACTCAAACTGTTGCCTCAGATTGCATTTATATTATCTGCTCTCTCTTTGCGGGATCGATAATTTTGTTTCGTGACAAGCAACGTGTCTGGCATTTATGAAGAAGACTTGCATTTTTATGAAATAGGCACTTAAACAGTAGGAACAAGAAAGGGACAGCGTATTTCAGACAACCCACATATTCACAACATAATAACAGATTTAGCTTGCTTAACTCATAATCAGAACAGAACTTCACAATAACTAATAGTAATTAAAGAGGGAAGCAATATCTTAAGTACTGTAAGTACAGAAATGTGATATAGTATTTCTTAGGAAGTCTGTACTCCAGAAAGAAAAGTGACAAAGTGTTTTTCACATAGTTCCTGAGAACTGGTTTGTCATTGAATCGAGTATCTTCCTCTTGTTCCTGAAAGTCCAAAAACGAAATTAAAAAAAGATAAACTTAAAATCTAAACCTAAATGTATTTTCTGAATCTGGTAACGCATATTTCTAAAAGGGTTCATTCTCCAGTAACCCTTTCCATTATCATACATTTTATTCTGTACACAGTGAAAAACCCAGAACGCAACAACTACCTTGTGAAGGGTTATCTTCCAAGTCAAGAACATATCTGGCAGTATTTCACTGAAAAGATTTTGTATGCAAACAACTTCAATGACTTCACTGGAATGTAATCGGAGACTTGTAAAATATGTTACTGAGCTGTATTTAAAGATGCAATTTCACGTTGCATTTAATCTCTTCTGACTGTGAGCTGGAGCCAAAAGATCAAAGAATCATGGAATCGTTTAGGTTGGAAAAGACCTTTAAGATCATCAAGTTCAACTGTTAACCTAGCACTGCCAAGTCCACCACTAAACCATGTCCCTAAGCACCACATCTACCTGTCTTTTAAATACCTCCAGGGATGGGGACTCAACCACTTCCCTGGGCAGCCTGTTACAGTGCCTCACTACCTTTTCAGTGAAGAAGTTTTCCTAATATCCAACCTAAGCTTCCCCTGGCGCAGCTTGAGGCCATTTCCTCTTGTCCTATCGCTTGTTACTTGGGAGAAAAGACCGACCCCCACCTCGCTACAACCTCCTTTCAGGTAGTTGTAGGGAGCAATAAGGTCTCCCCTCAGCCTCCTCTTCTCCAGGCTAAACAACCCCAGCTCCCTCAGCTGCTCCTCATAAGACTTGTGCTCTAGAGCCTTCACCAGCTTCGTTCCCCTTCTCTGGACACGCTCCAGCACCTCCATGTCCTTCTTGGAGTGAGAGGCCCAAAAGTGAACACAGTACTCGAGGTGCAGCCTCACCAGTGCTGAGTACAGGGGGACAATCACCTCCCTGGTCCTGCTGGCCACACTATTCCTGATGCAAGCCAGGATGCCATTGGCCTTCTTGGCCACCTGGGCACACTGCTGGCTCATATTCAGGCGGCTGTCAACCAGCACCCCCAGGTCCTTTTCCACTGGGCAGCTCTCCAGCCACTCTTCCCCAAGCCTGTAGCGTTGCATAGGGTTGTTGTGACCCAAGTGCAGGACCTGGTACTGAGCCTTGTTGAACCTCATACAGTTGGCCTTGGCCCATAGATCCAGCCTGTCCAGATCCCTCTGTAGGGCCTTCCTACCCTCCAGGAGATCAACACTCCTGGCCAACTTGGTGTCGTCTGCAAACTTACTGAGGGTGCACTCGATCCCCTTGTCCAGATCATTGATAAAGGTATTAAACAGAACTGGCCCTAATACTGAGCCCTGAGGAACACCACTTGTGACTGGCCACCAACCAGATTTAATTCCATTCACCACAACTCTTTGGGCTTGGCCAGCCAGCCAGATTTTTACCCAGCGAAGCTTATGCCCATCCAAGCCATGAGCAGACAGTTTCTCCAGGAGAATGCTGTGGGAAACTGTGTCAAAGGCTTTACTAAAGTCCAGGTAGACAACACGCACAGCCTTTCCCTCATCCGCTAAGCGGGTCACCTTGTGAGAGACCAGGTTAGTCAAGCCTTTCATAAACTCATGCTGATTGGGCCTGATTGCCTGGTTGTCCTGCACGTGCCGTGTGATGGCACTCAGGATGACCTGCTCCACAAGCTTCCCCAGCACTGAGGTCAGACTGACAGGTCTGTAGCTCCCCGGATCCTCCTTCTGGCCCTTCTTGTAGATGGGCGTTACATTTGCTAACCTAAGATGCCACCACCTGCACATTACTATTCTTCCCATTGCAGTAATCTAGTGCTAATATGGAGAGAGTGAAAACTAATCAATTACTCTGTCTTCAACCACTTATGCAAAGCATCATCATGCAGCTTCAAGACTATCAGAGTCTACAGAAGGTAGGCAGTGAGAATGAGCTGTAGGAGCAGGAAGGGCATGGGTAACAGCCCACCATTACATTGCCTTAAATGAAACATCAAAGTGAGCCCTAAGAGCATAAACATTGTTCTGTCTGTGAAATACACATTGGCTTTTTCCTAATCTCATCAGCAGATGAAGGTCATTCCGTTCAAAATAGATTCAATTTAGCTTTTAGAAGGCACTAAGCTACTGAACCTTTGAATAAACCTACAGGAAATACGTGAGAGAAATAAACTTCTATCAAATATAAAAGCTGCCTATTTAAAATACCCCTTATCAAATGTACTGCCTTACCAATGATGAAAAACAAATATATGCCATTAAGGATTTAACAACAAAACAAGTATTATTCAGTGTATCAGAAATTCTTTCTAATGATTGTATCTAATAATTGTATTTATGAAAAGAATTTTACCTGAAACACCGTGTATTCAGAATCAGGCTCCTGAAAACAGAGGAAATAGAAGCTGAGGAATGGAAATGCTAAACAATAAAAAGAACAACAAAAAAATTGAACTGTACTCTGTGACCACCTCATTTTCCACAAACATTGTCTCTCTGACACATATATCCAAATTTCCATTTTATTACATTTTCTCAACTTACACACATTAGGGAGCTAATCGATGTTTTACATAATGAAAGCAGATTTGCAGAACGTACATTTTTCAGACACCTTTTGCTTTCTTGCTTCTGCTGGATCATGTTGGCCAAATCTTAAATTAACACTACAGAATTATTAAACTGAAAAATGGTACATTAAAAAAAAAAAAAAAAAAAAAAAAAGAAAAGAAAAACTTGGAAGATGTAAGCAAATCTCTCAAAAGTTAACCAGATTATTAGGCCATGGGCTTTAGAACGCCTATGTAATAAAATCAATCTTTGTGCACCTTTGTTAGCTGCTGATGGTGATCACACTGATATCACTGAAGTACATAAAATAAAATTTCTGCACATATTGAATTTTTTTTTGTACTTTTATGATGGAAATGATGTATTTATTGTATTCTGGACAGTAATGCTGTAAGTGGAATAAACGTCAAACTAATGGCTTATTGCACCATCTAATAAACAAAAGGAAAACTATCAGATGAAGTTTACTACAAGCCAAAAAGCAGGAACTTGCATCTGCTTGAAAACTTGAGGTAAAAGTGAGTAAATACCAACAATAGGAAATGTAGGTTTATCACCATGTATCATCTAATTATCATGTTTATACAATATTTGAACTATCCTTCAGGGCTTCTGCTGCTCACTTCCAGGAACTGGGGAGGAATTTTTCCTCTCTAATGCATTACTTAGCTTTAGGGGGAAAGACAGGGAAGGTAGGAGATAGATGTTACTTTTTCTAAATCACTATTAGTCTTTTGTAGAGTCACATAACTTCTGCTCCTAGAGGCAGCGGAAAATTTCTTACATATCTGGCCTTGTGTAAATCTATCACAGTTAAGCCAGCTATATTAGACTGACTATAGAACCTTAGAGTAATTCAGGCTAGAAAGGGACTTCAGGAGGTCTCTAGTCCAAAGCCCTGCTCAAAGCAAGATCAGCTATGAGGTCAGCTGAGGTTGCTCAGAGCTTTGTCTAGTTGGGTCTTGAAAACTTCCAAGGATGGAGACTGCAGAATGCCCCTGTGCAACCTGTTCCAGTGCCTGACTGTCCTTACAGAGAAACGTTTTTCCTTTTTGTCAAGCCAAAGCCTTCTTTATTTCAATTTATCTTTGCTGCCTCTCACTCCATGCACCACTGTGAAGGGCCTAGCTCCATCTTCTTCATAACCTCCTTGAATGTTAGAAGACCGCTATTAGGTCACACCAATGTCTTCAAGCTGAAGCACAGCCCAGCGTGCTGTTAGCTTCCTTTGCAGCCACGACACACTGCCAGCTCACGTTTCACCAAGAGAATGGCAAGGTCAAGCTCGCCCTTTTACTCTGTAGTATGAGACATGGTCTACTTCTTTCAATTTGAGCATTTTTATTCAGTAAATTCCATGACAGCAGGGACCTGAAGACTGGTGATGCTCTCGCATCTTACTTCTGTAGTGTACTGGAATTTCTGTGGCCTTTTAAGGATCATATTTGGAATCACAAGCTTGTTCACTGGTGTTAGAATGCATAACACAGCTTATAAATTCAATATCTATGGAACTAAACGTTAATTGAGGGATTAATCTCAGCTGTCTGTGATGTACCTGGGCTTGACTAAGGCACTTGAAACTGCCTTTATATTTTAGCTGTATGATTAAATGAACTCCAAGTTCTTCTAATATGTTGTTTTATTTATAGTATTCATCTTCTAAAGAATAAACTGTTCTAGCTTTCTAAGTAATAAAGAAAACGTCATTGAAATATTTCAGCTTGCATTTTATTCACCCCATTTTGTCCAAGTGTTACAGCACATATGCTGTACTAGAAAATGGTTTAAGAGCAGTAGGCGATCTTCCATAACATACGTGCTACAGTAACTAACAAGGACAAGGTTAGGAATGTTACGTCAACACTAACTCGAAAATGCCTTGACGTTACAGATGTGCATCTTACTTTAGGCACTGTTCATTAGTTTAAAAAATAATTTAAAAATAAACCAAATTTGCTTATGTAGGAGCATTCATATTACTAAAAAATTCAGAAATGACATCCCTCATCACTTCGGAAAAAGGTAGGGTTGACCAATAATACTTACTAAAAACAGTGCCCTTTCATAATGGTAGGTGATAGTATGCATTGTTCATACATCCCAATATAATGTTTCAGTTTTTGACAAGAAGTAGTAACTTAAGATTTTAAATAACCCTCAAGCAGGTGATAGAACCCTCCCATTAAACACAAGTCTGGAACAATAAAAATTAACATTAAAATATAATATATTTTAACATGGGTGGATCCAGCAGTTGCTACTCATGCAAGTAATCCACTCGAACAAGATTCCGAATAAAGATTTCTTTGAGAGGATTAACAAATAGCGTTGCCCTGTAAGCTTGTATCTCAAAACAAAAGGTCAAATTTATTCTTCATTTACACATATAAAGCTCCTTTGAAATTAATACGGTTGTAAAAGCAATGAAGGAAGGATTTAACCCAGATCTCCAAATTCACTGAGGGCATTTTAAAATGAAAGTTAATGTGTAAAGTCAGTTTATTTGGAGACCAAAAATATTTAGAAAAAATAAATTTGCTGATGCTTATAGCCTAGAAGAGGGAATGAAACAAGCTTACATACCTTATATTCTAATAAAGCTTTACTCTATAATTAATTTCAGGTGAGTATGATTTAATACATGCAGAATATTAAAATCAGTATATTCCAGAAATGCTCTTCAAAGGATTAAGAGCAGAAACAGAAAAAAACATTACCCAGGAACAATTACTTCCCTGTATGTACCACTAATTTTTATGCATAAACTTAATAATTACAGTCTCTTGAACCAATAACTGATTTCAGTTGAAGACGCTTTGTCAAATTAAGTTCCATGAACATAAATATATCCGTGACAATTTTATTATGACCTTACAAAAAACAGTATGCAAGTAATAGTAGCTGAAAGTTCACCATGGGAGAAGAAAGGACAAATGAACACAATTAATCAAGTTAAAGGCAGGACACCTACTGTATGTGTATTAATTACATTAGGCATTTTTTTTTTAATTGTTAAACTAAAGCAAGCCTCATACATCGGTGCTGGCTATTGCCTTGAATCTGACATACGGAACACAAAGAAGAGTAATCAGATTAGGTAACTAATCAGGATGATCAACAGCGACAGCCCTGGATTGTATTTCCTCTAGGTCATGCTATTACCATAAACATAGAAGACAACGCCTGTTTGCTTACAATAGGAAATAATTAAACTGAACATCAGTGCTTTACGTGTTTATATGCCCAAATGCTACTCATATAAAATATAGCTTTTATCTATCCTGAGATAAGATCGTCAGCATAGAAGTAAATTCCATCAACAAAATTTATATTCCTAATTCTTAAATGGACAAATGCACAGGACATTTTATAGAAAAAAATATTTCAATCTTCCATAAAATCTAGCTCAGTAGCAGCTAATTATTCTTCTATCAAAATGTTCAGCACATTTTATTCATTAAGAACTCTTCAGGAAAACATAATTGATTTTAAAATATTTTGGATTTCATTGATGTGTTCTTTAAGAATTCAAGTTTGTAATAGCATAGCATTTGATACTGCTACGTAAGAAAATTCCTCATTCATGCCCAGTTGGCTGAAAGTCAACACCATACCTTAAAAATCTCCTAGGGCTTACCGCATCTCGTGACAGAGTTTAAAAAGAGTTCTACATCATTTAAGATAGCTTCTAAATGCATGTACATGTAAATATTGACTGGATTATCAGTAAACTTGTTTTTGAGATCTTCAAATCATCTTTTACCATGCTCTTAAAGGAGAACTTCTGAGATGTCGTTATACTTCTGATGAAAACTTACTCCGAATACTAAGTTATATGTACAGGGAGTGGTAAATTAAGAGATATATCAAGATGTACGGGTCAAGAAAATTTCTTATTACATTTATAAGTGTGACTGGCAAAAATGCCTACTTCTAAGGCTATTGTAGAAAGCTGATTTCAGCTGCCCAAGTTTTGTGACTGTGTTGCAGATGCAACGGAGCAGGAGTGGTGCTATCATTTAGCAGACCATCTGAGAGCTGGGAAAAATGGACAGGCTTTCAGACAAGCAAGGTCATCTCTTTCAGGCATGAAAACACTCTCAGATTACGCAGTGTTAGTCTTTACTTACTTATTGTTACATGACATGTCTTAGAAGGGAGAAGGCTAGTTGTCTGAGCGTGAAAAAGTTCTGACCTGTCACAGTCACAGTTTA